AAGAGAACTATAGGCCAATCACCCTAACGAACATAAATGCAAACATTCTCAGTAAAATACTAGCTAATAGAATGAAGCAAATCATCAAGAAGATAATACACAAGGACCAGGTGGGATTCATCCCAGGAATGCAGGGATGGTTGAATATACACAAATCAATCAATATAATACACCATATCAACAGAGCTAAAGACAAGAATTGCATGATCATCTCAATAGATGCAGAAAAAGCTTTTGATGAAGTCCAACACTTATTCATGAGAAAAACCTTATAGAAAATTGGCATAGATGGACTTCAATCTGATAAAAGCCATCTATGACAATCCAAGAGCCAACATCATACTAAATGGACAAAAACTGAAAGCTTTCACTTTAAAATCAGGAACGAGATAAGGATGTCCACTGTCACCACTCCTATTCAACATAATTCTGGAGACCTAGCCAGAGCAATTAGACAAGAGAGAGAAATAAAAGGAATAAGGATAGTAAAGGAAGTAGTGAAATTATCATTATTTGCAGATGACATGATACTCTACAGAGCAGACCCCAAAAACTCCACCAAAAGACCTGTAGATTTAATAACCTTCAGTAATATAGCTGTATACAAAGTCAACACTCAAAAATCAAGAGAATTCCTGTACACAAACAACAAACAAACTGAGAGAGAAATTACAGAAACCACACCTTTCACAATAGCATCCAAAAAGTGAAATACTTAGGAATCAATCTAACAAAGGAAGTAAAAGATCTATACATTGAAAATTACAGTACCCTGAAAAAAAGAGATCAAAGAGGATTTCAGAAAATGGAAATATATTCCTTGCTCATGGATAGGAAGAACTAACATTGTGATAATGGCCATACTCACAAAATTGTTGTACAGATTCAATGCAATCCCAATTAAATTACCATTAGTATACCTCACAGATCTAGAGACACCAGTCCTAAAATTCATCTAGAACCAGAAGAGGCCTACAAACCAAAAGCAATCTTGTGAAACAAAGGAAAGACGGGAGGCATCACAAACCCCAATTTGAAATTATACTACAAAGCTACTGTGATAAAATCAGCAAGGTACTGGCATGAAAACAGACCTGAGGATCAATGGAACAGATAAGAAGATGCAGACACAACAACAAACACACTCAGCCACCTTACCTTTGACAAAGGGGTCAAACATATTCACTGGAAGAAAGATAGCCTCTTTAATAAATGGTGCTGGAAAAATAACCTTTCCACAGCTGAAGATTAAAACTAGAACTATGTCTATCACCATGCACTAAAGTCAAAATGAATCAAAGATCTAAATATTAAAACAGAAACACTAAATCTACTGGAATAGAAATTAGGTAGAAACCTTGAAGACATAGGGGTAGGCGGAGAGTTCATGAACAAAAACCAAACTGCATGGGAAATACTTCAAAGAATCAACAACTGAGATCTCACCTTTTAAAAAAGCTTTTGTACATCAAAAAAAATCACCAAAAGGGTAAAAAGGAAACTCACAAATTGGGAAAAAATTTTAGCCAACTGTCCCTCAGACAAAGGACTTCTATCTAGAACATATAAAGAATTTAAAAATCAGGCTGCCTTAAATTCGAAGACCCGATACAAAAATGGGCATCTGAGATGAATACACACGTCTCAGATGAATAAATATAAATAGCAAATAAATATATGAAAAAATGTTCAACATCATTGGTCATTCGAGAAATGCAAATTAAAACAACATTGAGGTTTCATCTCACCTGAGAGAATGGCTATCATTAAATCAACCTATAACAAATGCTGGAGGGACTGGAGGGGAAAAGGAACCCTTCTCACTGCTGGTGGGAGTGTAGACTGGTGCAACCACTAAGGAAATCAGTGTGGAGATCCCTCAAAAAACTGGGATTAGAAGTTTCACTTAACCCAGCTATTCCCCTTCTGGATATTTTCCCAGAAAAACTGAAAACACCATACCACAGCCATCTATGTGCACCCATGTTTACAGAAGCACAATTTGTCATAGCTAAATCTTGGAAACAACTTAAATGCCCATCAACTGAGGAATGGAGCTGGGGATTTAGCTGAGCAGCACAACACCTGTCTAGCAAGTGCAAGGTCATGAGTTCGATTCCCAGTACCAGAAAAAAAAAAAAAAAAAAAAAAACTGAAGAATGGATAAAAAAGATGTGGTTTTTTTATACAATGTAGTATTACTCAGCTATAAAGAAAGTTAAACTCTAAGCTTTTATAGGTAAGTGGATGTAACTGGAGACCATACTCATAAGTGAAACAAATCAGACCCACATGTGTAAACATCATATTGTCTCCCTAGTGTAAGAACCTGAAAGAGTAAATAAAGCCTGAAAGGTACGATAGATACTTTGAAAGGGAAAAAAATTGCTCAAAGAGAAGGAACAACTGGAATGAGCAAAAGGAGAAAAGAAAGAAAGAGGAAAGGGAACAAATATATATGCACATACAAGGGTAGCTGGGATAATTGTCCTGCTGATGTCTATTGCTTTATTGAAAGGAACAGTTAATGCTTAATTTTTTATTGACCAATTTTGCAGGCTTATATCTGGTGATCTGAACAACTAATTTGAAGACAACAATATGCAATATAATAACCATTGTTGAATTCCTACCATCTTGTTTAGTGAAGCTCTGTATCATTTCTAGTGTTTGTAATTCTCTTTAACTGTTTGATCAATCTTGCATTCTTACATCTGGTAGTCTGAGCAACTTCCTTGAAGATAACAGTATGTGGTATGACCACCATTTTTAATTTCCTATCATCTTGTTTTGAAATTCTGAGTCATTTCTACTGTTTTTGTGTTGTTTTGTTTTTGTCTTTGTGGTTATTTTGTTATTTTTTTCCTCTTACAATAAATAAAACCAGGGGCTGGGGATTTAGCTCAGCGGCAAAGCGCCTGCCTGGCAAGCACAAGGTCGTGAGTTCAGTTCCCGGTACCGGAGAAAAACCAAAATAAATAAATAAATAAATAAATAAATAAATAAAACCAGAAAGGTTTGACTTCTAGCTGTCACCTTAGCTTCCATTCACTTATTTATTGCCTAGTCTTTTACTTCTTTTAGTGCACCATTCTCCACGCATCCAGGAAAGCTCTGCACACCCTCATTATTCTTCTGGAGGTGCTGCCCTCTCATCCTCTCTTTCACTCAACTTTTAGAACACAGTGGAAGCATCATACCCGACATGACAATCAATTGTCTTTGTCAACTTGATTGGCTTGAGAGATGCCTACACCATAACCATACTTCTAAGAGTTTCTGGGTGGGATAAAGACATGATCTTGGAATTGTGTCTGGTCCCTGACTTCTTTCTCTGTGCTCTGTCCCTATTCACTGTTTCTTGGATGCCATGAGTTGAGCTCCACCATGCTTTTCTGCCATGATGTTTTGCCTAGAAACCAGCTCGCCATAGACTGAGACCTCTGAAACTGAGCCAAAATAATCCTCTCTTCATTCAAGCTGTGGGTTTCAGGTATTTTGTCCCAGCACCAACACATCATCTGGAGACAAGCTCCCTTACACCCCCAGGACTGCATCTTTATAGCACTGTATATTATCAAAGCAATGTGTAGTGTTCTGTTCAACCTTTCTTAGTGCCTATAAAATGCTGGCTCACAGGAAATATCAAATAAAATTTGCCAAATAAGTTCTTACTCTGGGAGATTTAATTTACCAAAAGAAATAATACTTTGCTTCCCATTTCTAATTCATTTCTAATCTAACGTCAGAGCAAGCTGTAAGAAGTATGGCTACCCTGGTCATCTGACTTTCAAATGCCACAATTTTCACCAGGTAGACCCCAAAAGGGATATAGTTTTAGATGTAAGCAGTAAAGACATTGATGAAGAGAATGAAGAGCTAAATCTCAGTCATTACAGGAAAAAAGAATAAATGAAGAAGAGGGGAAGAAAAAAGTAAAGAGGAAATCAAATTGAAGAAGAAAAGGAACAGGGCTTATTCCATCCAGTTCCACCAAAGAAAATTCTTCTAAATAGAAGAAACACAAGTATCAGAAGAAAGAAAAGAAAAGGAAGAACAAATCAAAGAAGGGAAAATGGAAAAAAGGGAAAAAAAGAGAAAAAGGGAAGAGCATTCTTCAACCCTTAATCATTCTGAATTCACAGAAAAGTAACCGAGACTTTGACTGACATCATTAAACATAAAAAGGCTTCTTTAAAAATTGTTCATCCTTGGATTTTGCTATATAGTTATGCTTGGCAACAAACCCGAACGTTTTCCATATAGATATTTTTCATTGGTGGGACCACTATCCCTCTAGCTGTATGTGTTTAAATAGCTCTCATTGCTTGATAGCCATGCTCCAAGCACAGATATTTGTGTCTACAGAACACATTGTGTTTCGTGCTTCTATCTCCGTTTGGCTAAGGTTATTCCTTCATCAGCGGATCTCGAATGACCCTTGTACAGTCAACACAAATAATCTCCCTAGCAGTTAATGAGTCTTGTTGAATCAGGTGTCCTCCTTTCAGCAATGAAGGTCAGTAGGCGGTAATGATTTGTTCTTGACGCTGAAAAATTTAATAGTTTTTCGTACTGTGACACAATACATAAAGATAGTGAAATTCTTTACTCTGGTTTTTAAATCTCTGGGTTTTAAAAAAATTAAAATAATTTTTTAAAAAATTAAAATATCATAGTAGATGAAACTGCTTTACTGGTCTTAATTAATACTTTTTAAATGAATGGTAAGTCTGCAGGAAGACAATAATAAAAATATAACAAAGTTTCATTGCTTTATTGGGGACTCTTGCGGGGCGCCAGGGTGACTTGCCCGGATTGTGCGAGTCGTCTTATTCAGGAAAGTGAGAATTTCGCACAGCAATTGTCTGAGCCTCCCGAACGCTCGGCCTGGGCAGCCAGGGAGGTCCAGAGTGCCCCAGAGGAGCCGGCCTGGCTGGGCCCCGCTAACGCAGCCAGCTGCAATGGGTCTCAGCCACCACCAGAGGGTACGCGAGGGTAGGATCGCGGAGCAGAACTTCGGGTCCCTGCGGCAGCCCCGGCGCGATCCAAGGCCGCGTCTCGGCCAGCAGAAAGCACAGCTGCAGACACCCGCGCCCTGAAGCCAGTACTCCCGGGACTTCGATCGGATTCGGCCGCCGGCGGGGGCTTGCAGATTCCTCGAGCCTTGACCTTAGCCCCGAACGCGGCGGGCGCGAGCAGCACCGGGCGCAGAACGGGCCGCCCGCGCACCCTCTCCCTCCCGCGCGGACTTTGCTCCCGCAGCGCCGGGACGCTCGGGACGCGGGGACGGGGCAGCCCGCGCCTGGACGCCGTGCGGGGACAGCCACGCGGGCCGTGCGAGCGAGGCCTTGGGTGGCTGTGCTTGAGGAGGCTGACTGGCTTCTGGGTTTTGTTTCTCGCTGTTTTCTAGTCCTGAACACTTGGAGAAAGAGCTTGGTGCTTGACTCTGAGAGCCATGAATTACGAACGGTTCATTACCGCGAGGAGCGCTGCCAGAAAACCTTCTCCCATCAGAACCATGGGTGAGATGTGGGGCCAGCGCCTCTCCTCCCGGGTGGAGCCTTCTGGGTCACCCTGGGTTGCGTCCACTCGTGCAAGCGGGAGCTCGCTGTGAGGCAGGCTCTGTGAGCAGCGCCAGGGCAGGCTGAGCCTTTGTTCGCAGAGAAGGCGCTGGAAGGGAAGGCCGGCCACAGAGCATGTGCAATGGCGTGGAGAAGGAGCAGCCCGAGAGGCTCCGCTCCCGTCCTGGAAGGGAGGCTGTGGAGGGGCCTCCTTGGCGGGACAGACGGGGCAGGCGCGGTGCAGGTGGGGTGCGGGCTCGCGCTGGGACTGCAAGGCAGAGCCAGGAGTCTCACAGGCCAGCGCGGGAGAACTGCAGCAGGGTCTTCTGACTGTGGCCCTTTGTTTACTCCTGGCCCCTCTGCCTTCTCCGGGTCATCCTCATTCTCCAGTCCTTCCACCCGTGAGGAGACGCAGAAAAGGTTTTTCTACACCTGTTTTAGACTAGCGTTCTGTCTTAGACCATTTAGGCAGTGAAATCAAAATAGCACAAACTGGTAATTTAGAAACAACAAGAAATTATTTGTCACACTTCTGGATGGTGGCAAGTCCAACATCAAGGTGCCGGCCCATTCCATGCTGGGCTGAGGGCCGTTCATATAGGTGGCACCTGTGGCTGGGTCTTCACTTGGTGAGAGAGGGTAGCCTGTGTCCTCACTCCGTGGACGGGGGTAAGGGCACCTCTTCTAGCCTCTTTCTAAAAATTACTTAATCATGTAGGTGGAGCACTGTGTTCTAATTATGTCTTGAAGACCTTCATCTCCTTTTACTGTCATATGGGGTATTAGGGCATTATGAAGAGGGATCACTAGCATTCACACCGTAGCACATTCCGTCACTAGAAATTATCAAACTTTTACTTGACTGTACTGCATACTGAACTGTCGCTGTTTCTAAGTCTTCAATAAAAGTATTTTTTCTTTCCCATGTTTATCATAGCCGATGTCCTGAACAGGTCACCGAAATCCCTCATCTCCCTGGCTCCTGGATTTCCAAATCCAGACACCTTCCCCTTTAAGAGTGCTATTATCACTTTAGAAAATGGAAATGCCATCCACATTGCAGGAGAGAGCATGAAGACAGCACTTCAATATTCTGCAACTTATGGGTGAGTTTTTAATAGATAATACAATCTCTCGGGTTCATTTTCATGTCCCATTTGGCTTGTGTCTTTTTTGACAAAGTGTTTGATAGTTAGGGAGGTTGCAGAAAAGTTCCCAAACACTAAGAGCAAAAGAAATGTGAACTGCTTAGTACTTCTCAGTGACGGCTTTTCAAGCTCAAATGACTAGGAAAGCTAGAGAATCTTCTAGAAGTACCATTTGAGCTGAGAGTGAAAGCTGAGAAGATGCTGGGTGAAGAACCATTGAAAGAAAGGAGGTGCTCATCCTTGGTCATTGGAGAGATGTGAATTAAAGTAACACTGAGATTTGATCTCACCCAGAAAGAATGAGTATAGTCCAGAAATCAACCAATAACATGCTGGAGGGGCTGTGGGGCAAAAGGACCCCTTCTCCTCTGTGGAAGGATACACTGGTACAACCACTGTGGAAATCAGTGTGGAGATCCCTCAGAAAACTAGGATCAGAGGTCCCATTCCATCCAGGTATTCCCCTTCTGGGTATTTTCCCAGAAGAATTAAAAAGACGATACCACAACAACATATGTGCACCCATGTTTATAGCAGCACTATTTGTCATAGCTAAATCTTGGAAACAACCCAAATGCCCATCAACCAAGGAACAGAGAAAAAAGATGTGGTCTTTTTATACAATGGGGTAATACTCAGCTATAAAGAAGGATAAACTTAAGATTTTTATGGGTAAATGGATGCAACTGGAGACCATACTCCTAAGTGAAATAAATCAGACTCGCATGTGTAAACGTTGTATTATCTCCCTAGTGTAAGAAGATGGAAGAGTAAGATCCAAAATTTACAATAGTTATTGTGAAATGGGAAGAAACTGTTCAAAAGGAAAGAGAACCTGGATAGGGAAAAGGAGAAAAGGACCGAAAAAGGAAATATATATATATATATATAATATATATATTATATATAATATATATTTATATATATATACACACAAGATAGTTAAGATATATAAAAATATATATATTTTATATATATATTATATATATATACACACAAGATAGTTAAGATAGTTATACTACTAATATCTATTAGTTCATTGAAAAGAAAGATTTGTGCTTATATTGTTTGATCAAATTTTCATGCTTATATCTTGTAATCTGAGCATCTATTTGAAGATAACAATACAGTGTGTTAAGCATTGCTACTCTCTCACCATCTTGTTTTGAAATTTTGTATCATTGTTTTTATTGTTTTTTCTTTTTAAAAAAAGTACATTATAAAATTAACATAGAAGACTAAGCTAGAATATTGATAGGGAAGGACATAAAACAATATCCACAATAAAGAAATACAAGAACATCACCAAACTGTATAAAAGGAAGTTTCCTAAAGGATGATGTTGTCAAGATCAAAACAAGCAGCAAATAGAAGGAAAACCAGAAAAGAAACACTTTAGAAGAAAGGGATGAAAGGAAGTATTTTAGACAGGTCTGACAAATAAACTTAAGGAGACAAAAGAGCTCTCTTTCAGTTCATCAGGGTCTGACTTTAGAGGATACAAATATTTTGAAAAATGAAATTTATTTGCGGAAAAAATTGTGACAATCTAATGGTAAACACACACACACAAACACATATACAATGTTATACTTTCAACTATACCAGCCAAATTAATGTGCTCTAGAAGTCATATGCTTTGGTAATTACCTATTATCATCATATTTATTGTGTATTAATTTTGGTAATACTACTATAATATCACAAAATAAAATGTCTAGACATCAAATGAAATTATTATTTTATGAAAACCAAGATTTTAATCTAATAGAAGAATTAGTAGGCATGAAAATGAGGCAGGTTTATGTTACAATGGTTTACATGAATGAGAAAGTAAAAGTGATGCTGAATATTCATCTTCATTTATTAATGTAATTATTGCTGCTAATACAGTTCAATAGATGTGCTTGCATTTCACCAGGTAAGGCAAAGGAGCCAGTTTGTAAGACATAATTTCTATGGAGAAATCTAAATTTGTATCTACTATATTGTTTTAAAAGAGTGGCATGAACATGTGGGAAATATACTACTTGCTTTACCGAAAATGATTTAATTGAAATGTACGAGTATCTTCCTTATTGTGCTTAGTATTTTCTAGAGACAAATCAATTTTAATTTAATGATGGGGTGAAAGGGCTAGAAAATAAAATATGAATAACCTGAAGTCACTGGAATTTTAAGAAAACAGCCTGTGCTAAGAGTAGAGAAAAATAATCTGAAAAAAGCATTTATTTTGAGTGTGCACCTACTGTAAGTGTTTTCATTTTTTCTACTTCCCTTCATAAATTAAGCCTTTGGCTTTGTGTGTAGACTGCATCTGATGATCCTAAAATATAGTATGTATTTCAGTATGAGTTCAGAGTTAATAGCACTACTCGATGTTTTGTTCCATGATCATTCTTACATATGAATTAGAGCAAAATACAGTGAAAGAAAGAAAGACAGAAAAGAAAAGAAAAGAAAAGAAAAGAAAAGAAAAGAAAAGAAAAGAAAAGAAAAGAAAAGAAAAGAAAGAAAAGAAAAGAAAAGAAAGGGGAAGGGTAGGCGGGAGGGAGGAAGGAAGGAAGGAAGAAAAGGAAGGAAGGAAGGAAAGAAGGAAGGAGGAAACAGGTAATCCAAGGATTTCTAGTGACATTTTAAAGCGGGGTAATTTTCTAATGCTATAATTATGTCACCTTTTAAGCAAGCAACTATGCAAATACATTTCATAGGTTCAAATGTCTAATTTCTTAAAGGCAAGCTGAAACATGTCTTAAAACCTTATTTATCTGATCTTCAAATGAAAAGGGATACTTTAGGAAGTCTATAGATTATACTTTATCAAAACTTTTGTTATGTGATTGAAATATAACGTATAGCAATTATATGTAATGCATAGATAGGGTTTTCTTTCCATGATTCACAGGACCTATTGAGCCTGAACTTCAAGGCAGCATGTAGGAATCTCCCTAAGGAAAGTAAGAATGTATTATGCAGTGAATACTGTAGTTTAGAAGAAGGAAATTCAGGTTTTAAAACAAGAAGGATGTACATTCATATCTCAGGTCACTGATTAAATGAATGATGTGTGAATTTCCAGATGATTGAATTTATATGAATTTCCTAACCTCTAAATCTGTTGCTTTTAAATGGGAATATTGATATTGGCAAAAAGTATTTGAAGAGTTTTCAATTGAATATATAATGGGTTTGTTACAGATCTACCATTTACTTCCTATCTACTGTTACAATGAATATTACTACTGTGAACTTAAAAATGTATCTTGTGGCTTCAGAATTCCAGAGCTTCTGTCCTGGCTAAAACAGTTCCAAATAAAATTGCATAATCCACCCACCATCCATTATGCACCTCACCAGGGACAAATGGATCTCTGCATCACATCGGGCTGCCAAGATGGTCTTTGTAAGGTAAGACTGAAAGGAAAAGGAAGCCAAGGTGTGGAATCAGTATGTTTCTAAATACAGTCATCTATCACTTAACCACAGGAAGATCATGTTTTGAAAACTGCTCAGAAACAAACCATAAAGTGAGAAGAGGTAAAACGGGCAAGAAGTGTACATGGGGTGCTTTAACTACACACAAACAAGTGGAAGTACTTTAGGTTAATCTCTGATAGTGCCTTCTAGTTTCTCTTGTTGTGAAAATGAAGAATTTAAAATACTACCTGTAGTTAGTGACATTCAGAAGCCTGATTTTTCTTAAACATATGCCTTTGTTCAATGCCTTGGAGCTGTGAGCCGTTCAGCTAAGACTTCTGCTGTGAGAACATTGAAAGTCTATGAAAAGCTTTGTAATGCTGCTTAATTTCATCTGCCTCGAAGATCTAAGTTAGCATTTGATTTCTAGCTGTATGTTGTTATGAAACTTCAATATGAGTTTTAAATTCTTTAAAGGGAATATCCTCATACTCCTGAGATGCAAACTTAATTCATTTGCATACCTGTGAATAGATTCTGTCTGCTTACCATGGCTTATATTTTTTCTTCTCCTTGGCTGTATTTCTGTAGATCTATATACAGACGTTACTCAACTTACGATGGGACTATATCCTGATAAGCCCATCCTAAGTTGAAAATATGGTAAGTCCAAAAGCATTTAATATGCCTAACCTACTGAAAACAGTAACTTAGTAGCACAGTACACGGTACAGAGTATGTTGTTTACCCTCAAGAATGCATGCCCAACCAGGGGCTGCTTCTGCCTAGCATTTCATGAAAGTATCATATCACACATTGCTAGCTCTGCAAATGAACAATATTCAAAAATCAAAGAACAGTTTCTTACTAAATGCACATAACTTTCACACCAGTGTAAGGTGGAAAAATTATAAGTGGAACCTTTGTAAGTCAGGGACCATCTGTATATGTCTGTGTCTCACTTCCCTGGGTCAGTTTCTTTCCTCCCTCTCTCATTCCCCCTCCCCAGTATCCTCCCAGTATTGTGTCTGCCTCTCTGCTGGGCTCCTTGAGCCTCTGCAGAAGTATCCACCACTGGGTAGACCCATAATGAAAGAATGTACTTCTGGTCAGTTTTGTCTACTTCCTTTTTTTCTTCTCTTTTTCATGAATAATTAGTCCTGGAAAAAGATTCTGTGTATTCAGTCCTTACGTTTGAATTAATGTAACTCTTATTTATCTTCATTCATGTTAAATCATAATAGCTTTCTTTTTCATTTTGTGAAAAATGCCATCAAATTTACTTTAATGAGCTTTAATTAAATTATTATAGGATAAGGAATTATAGTAAAAATATTTTGTAAAGATCTTTATAAATAAAAACAATTTTTATTTCTATTTTTGGAATTTAATTATAAAAAGAAAAAGGATTAGCTGCTGTCTGTTTTCCTGGAGAGAAATGTTTGTGAGTCTATGGATGATATTTTAAGTCTTGTTCAACAAAATTATTTTCTTAGGACAGGATTCTGTGAACTCTTTCATGCAGGAAAAAAATGTCATAGACAGTTTCTTCTGTCTCTGTCACTACACCAGTCATATCAAAAAGAATATAGCATCTCTGGTCACATAAATCAATAACACATTACCATAGATGTGCTTATTACAAGGACCTTAGCAGGTATCTGGTTTAACATTTCTTCCGTTTTGTTCTCCAAGACAGATGTTATTTAGGGTCCTGTTCTGACTGTATCTTTTTGATACAGCTCTCTCTTTTAATTTAGAATATGTGATGTTTGTATGTGCCCTAACTGACATGGAAATGTACATAATCAGGATGTTACTTGATCTGTTGGCAATGTTCCTGCCACCCAAGTGATTTCTTTGGTTGTAAGAGGTCCTGCAAACCTGAGTCAATTGGAAAGTCCTTGGAGGAACATACTATTCTTCATACAAAGTCAGAAACTCCAGAAGAGAAAAATAAATTGAACATCCCAGGCCAAATGGAAGAACAAAACAAAACTTCTATCTCAACTGAAAATTGCCTTATTTTTAATTTTGAAACATAGATTGTTCAGGGGGTTTAGGGGGGATTTTTTGGTGCCAGGGATCGAACTCAGAACCTTGAGCTTGCCAGGCAGGTGCTTATGCCACTGAGCTATATCCCTGGCCCTGTTAAAGTGATAGGAAGCAGAACTTGCAGCCAGGAGGGTGAAACATCTCTCAGATGTGGATGACTTTTTGGTTCTGTACTCGGGCGAATGGCACCACCTCCTCCATCTATCTAGTCTGATAGCCAGATGCCTAGGAGTCCTTGACAGCTCCTTCTCACTCCCCTACAGTCCATATTCCTGTCCAGTTCATTTTCATTTCTTTAATTAATATTATTGGTACATTTTTATATACATAGTGATCACATTTATCCTAGGGAATTTATATGTGTACATAACATATTTTGATTTTCCTTCTTTTCCTCATCTGCCTCCCCTCCCTTCAACCCTTTTCCCCCTGCTATTTAAAGGTTGCTTCCAATTTTTTTTTTCTTTTAGTGTCTTTTTTCCTTTTCCTTTCCCGCTCCAACCTTCCTTGTTCCCTTTCCCTTTTGAACATTTTCTTCCTACCTCTTAATATCTACCATCCATTTTGGTCTTTATTTAGGCTTTTGGTTTCTTATACGAGAGAAACAATGTGACATTTAAACCTGTGTATCTGATATATTTTACTTAAAAGCATGGTCTCAGGTCCATCAATTTACCTAAAAATGTCTCAAGTTTGCCCTTCTTTATGGTAGACTAGTACTACAGTGTACATAAAAACCACATTTCCTTTATCCATTCATCCATTGATGGGCATCTGGGCTGTTCCCAAGATTTAACTATTACAAATTGTGCCGCCATAAACATGGATGTGAATTTATTGCTGTGGTATGATGGCTTCAATTCTTTTGAGAAGATACCAAAGGGGGTAATTGCTGAGTCAAATGCAACTTCCAGTTTCAGTTTTTTGAGGAATCTCCATACTGATTTCCATGTTTATACCAAGTTGCATTTCCACCAACAGTGGAGAAGGGTTCCTTCCCCCCCCAACCCCCCCCCAGCATTTATATTGGTTGATTTCTTAATAAAGGCATTCTTTTTGGAGTGAGATCTAATCTCAGCATTGTTTTAATTTGTGTCTCTCAAATGATCAGTGATGTTGAATGTTTTTTCAGATTTGTTTTGCTATTTGTACTTCTTCATCTGAGGGGTGTCTATTCATTTCAGATACCCATTTTTGGACTAGGATTTTTAAACTGGGGGTCGGACTTCTTTATATATTCTAGATATTAGTCCCCTGAGGAACAGCTGGTAAAAACTTTTTCCCATTCTGGGGATTGTCTCTTCACTCTCTTTTGATCTCTTTTGACATACAAAAGCTTTTTAAAATGATGATGTCTCAGTTGTTGATACTTTATAATATTTCCTGTATGATTTGTGTTTTGTTCATAAACTTTGGGTCTTCCAGAGTTTTACCTACTCTATCTTCCAGCGCATTAAGTCATTCTGTTCTAATATTTAGATCATTGATCCATTTTGATTTTAGTGCATGATGACATATATGTGCCTATGTTTAATCTTTGACATGCTCAAAGCCAGTTTTCCCAACACCATTTATTAAAAAGGCTATCTTTCTTCCAGTGAAGTTTTTTGGCCACTTTGTCAAAGGTAAGGTGGCTGAGTGTGTTAGGAGGTTTTTCTGCATCTATTATTCTGTTCCATTGATCCTCAGGTATGTTTTTTTGGGTTTTGTCCTGTTTTGTTTTGTTTTTCCATTTCCATGCCACTTTTATCTTGGTAGCTTTGTAGTATAATTTCAAGTCAGGGACTATGTTGCCCCTTGCCTTGTCTCTGTTGCCCAGAATTGCTTCTGGTACTGAATGAATTTTAGGATTGTGTTCTCTAGTTCTGTGAGGATACTATTGGTATGTTGATAGGGATTGCATTAGATCTGTATAATAGTTTTTGAAATATGGCATTTTTTCTATATTGGTACTACTTATCCAAGCACAAGGGATAGCTTTCTGTTTTATGATATCCCATTTGATCCCCTTTCTCAGAGTACTATCATTTTAAATGTAAAGGCCTTTTACTTCCTTTGTTAGACTGATTCCTAAATATTTCATTTTTTAATTTTCTTATTGCTATGGTGAAAGTGTGGTTTCCCTAATTTCTCTTTCAGTAAGTTTACTGTTCGTGTACAGGAATGCTATGGATTTTTGAATGTTGAGACTGTATCCTGCTATGCTACTGAATTTGTTTATTAAATCTAGGAGTCTTCGGTGGAGTTTTTTCAAGTCTTCTATATACAGTAGCATAGTATCCACAAATAATGATAATTTAACTTCTTCCTTTCCTATCCTTATTCCTTTTATTTCTTTCTCTTGTCTAATTACTCTGGCTAATGTTTCCAGAACTATGTCAAACAGGAGTGGTGAGAGAGAACATCCTTGTCTTGTTCCTGATTTAGCTTTTAGTTTTTGTCCATTTAGTATGATGTTGGCTGTTGGTTCATCATAGATAGCTTTTATCAGATTAAGATAGAGACCATCTATTCTAATTTTCTGTAGAGTGTTTATTATGAATGAGTTTTAGACTTTGTCAAGTGTTTTTGTGGCATCTTTTGAGGTGATCCTGTGGTTTTGCTCTGGAGTCCTGTGAATGTGGTATATTACATTTGCTGATTTGAGTATATTGAGCCATCCCTGCATCCCTGGGGTGAATCCTACTTGGTCATGATGTATAATCTTCTAGATGACTTGCTGCATTCTGTTTGTGAGTATCTTTTTGAGGAACTTGAATCCATGTGCATTGAGATTGCCCTGTAGTTATCTTTTTTGGTTGGCTGTTTCCCTAGTTTTGGTATCCGGGTAATGCTTGCTTCCCTGAATGATTTTAGAAGTATTACTCCCCTCTGAATTTTATTAAACAGTTTAAGGAATAGTGGCATTAGATCTTCTGTGAATTTTGTGTGCAACT